CGTGGGGTTTCCCAGTACTTGTTGCTAATCATGACCTTGCGATATTTTCTGATGCGATCGGCCATGCTGAGCTTGCGACTGGATTAAGAACCAAGGGAGTCCCAAGCCAACTAATCCATGCAATTATGCGCGAGTTGAGCTACATGACGGGCGCCATCTCGCTGGGCGGAGCAGGTTCAACGCAGCCTTTCGCTTCTAGCCGCGGGGCAAACAGGGCGGCGTCGCGACTCCAGATGTGGCCAGATTATTTCTTGAATCCTTCCTTCAACCTCTGGTGGCCGTCTGGCTGGACCGGGGGATGGGCTGCAGGGCCGACGACGGCGACGATCTGCTCGACTTCATCGTGTACGCTGACAACCTCTGGTTAATCGCATCTTGCACCGGTCACCTGGAGATCGTGGCCCAGGAGCTCTGCGACGCTATCTACGAATACAAGCTGAAGCGGAAGCCGGCATCGCTGGAACTTCTCCATGGCGGTTCGCTCCTAGGATCGTGTCATTCGCTGTCTGTCTCTGCCGCGGGGGAGGTGATGTCGTTCAAGTGCGTGTCGGAACTGGAGTGTCTGGGCTCGCTATTGGACGGAGCGGGATGTGCCCGGAGGAGTCTGCAGCGCCAGCTATCCAAAGCTGGAAAGAACATGTGGGCGAATGCTGGCGCGGAGGCGAAACTGCGCGCGTGGACCGCTGGCCCAGGTACCTCTGCTGCCTTCGATTCGGGATCTTGGGTCCTTACGGGCACCGATCTACTATCTTTGAAGCGCTGGGAGTTCGGTTTGCCGCGGAGAGTCCTGAAGATGCGGGGGGTGCCCGAGGAGAACCTGCGCATGTACAACAAGCGCACTTGCGTGCGCACCCAGAAATGGGCAAGCAAGTGGTCGACACCTTTTCGCTCACCATCGAGTTCTGCAGAATCTGTTTCGGTGTGCGTGGCGGGGCCGCGACAAGGAGGCCGCGTGGCTCGATCGCGCTGCTGGTGGGACAGCATCAAGGACCAGCAGTGCAACGCACGGAAGAGAGAGCGCTGCAGCCGTGCACGTCTTGGCGCTGCGCATTTGTGGGGTGATCCTTTCGTCTTGTTGCATGGGCATGGGTGGCAGTCCGCTTTGAAGAAGTGCCCCGCGAATTCGGAATGGCAGCGAGAGGAACGACATTTTGTTGATGCAGTGTGCCGCGCCTGGGCTTTGCCACTTCTGACAAGGCAACCTCGTCGCGAGAAGGTCGCCCACCATTCGACTATCGGGCGGCCGGCAAAACAAGCCAGGGTTGACGCCAGCTTCAGTCATAACATTTACAGCCTCTATTTCGTCGCACAGCGCGTAATGTGTTTCGGGTCATGGAGGGTGGTTGGAACACTCCGAGCATCATTTCCGACCCCGTGCTCTGGTTCCCGGGGGTCGATAACACCCTGGCCGACCGCTTAGCAAATTACACCATGGACATCGGACGTAGCTGGAAAAAGGATTGGCCTATTCCTGACGGAGAGGGCCAAAATCTTCTGTTGCAGTCCGATGGTGGCTACAGGGCCAACGAGACAGCAGCGGCTGCCTGGGCGATAGTGGCGATCCAAGGCAATGCCAGGCATTTCGTTTCGGCCAGAGGCATCCACCTGCCGGATACACGGTCGGCGTTTGCAGCTGAGGCTATCGCATTCGATGATGGTTTTGAGCACCTTTGCATGTTAGAGAGATCCTTGCCGTACTCATCAACATAGTGAGTTTGCGAGTAGCTTTGGGAACCCAGCGTTTCGATAGCATTTCCGAGAAGAGTCGGCTAGCGGTGCCCCGCTCCATGCCTGAGGGAAAAAGAAATAATGAACATAAGCAGGAGAAGGACACGGATGAGCGGGGTGGGGATGATGGTGATGCTGGTGATGATGGTCATGATGATGATGATGATGATGATGATGATGATGATGATGATGATGATGATGCAGATGATGGTGACGATGATGACGACGATGATAATGTTGGTGGCGACGGTAATGATGGTGATGTTGGTGATGACGATGGTCCTCACGGTTAGGATGAGGATGAGGATGGTCATGATGATCATGATGATGATGATGATGATGGTGATGATGATGATGATGCTGATAAGGATGATGAGGGCGATGATGATGATGATGATGATGATGATGATGATGATGGTGGTGGTGGTGGTGGTGGTGGAACCAGTGGTGGGAGTGATGATGATATTGGTAGTGGTTGTGCTGGTGGTGGTTTTTGTTGTTATTGTGATGATGATGATGATGATGATGATGATGCAGATGATGATGATGATGAGGTTGATCATGCTGCTGATGATGATGGTGGTGATGATGGTGATTCTGTTGATGACGATGGTGATGCTGGTTATGATGATGGTGTCGATGATCCTTATTTTGATCCTTATGTTTCTGGATGTTTTTTAAAGATGATGAGGTTGCTGATGCTGATGCTGTTGATGGGGGTGATGATGCTGATGAAAATGATAATGATGGTGGTGGTGGTGATGATGATGATGCTAATGACGATGATGATGCTGCTGATGACTGATGATGATGAGGAAGAGGAGGAGGAGGTGGATGATGATGATGATGATGAGGAGGAGGAGGAGCAGGGGGAGGAGGAAACGGAGAAGGATAGCGGATGGGGATGGGGATGAGGATGAGGATGAGGAGGAGGAAGAGGAGGAGGAGGAGGAGGAGGAAGAGCAGGAGGAGGAGGAGGAAAAGGAGGAGGACGAGGAGGAGGAGGAGGAGAAGGACGAGGAGGAGGAGGAGGAAGATGGCAGCGTCCTTAGGAACTCCGATGCCACCGGGGTCCAGATTCCAGGAGAACGAGAGAACGAGAACGAGAAGGAGGCAGTGGCGGAGGCGGAGGAGAAAGACGAGGAGGAGGAGGAGGAGCTGGAGAAAGAGGACTAGAAGGGGAGGGGAGGAGTGGGAGGAGTATCGGTGATGATGATGACGATGATGATGATGATGATGGTGATGATGATGAGGATGATGATGATGATTGTGATGATGATTACGATGATGCCGAAGATGATGATACCGACGATGGTGATGATGCTAATGATGATGACCATTGGTGATGATGATTGTGATGACGTTGATGCTGGCGGTGGTGGTGATGGTGGTGATGTTGAGGGTTCTGCTGCTGATGCTGATGATTCTTATGATGATGCTGGTGGTGGTGGTGTTGTTGGTGATTGCGCTGGCTGGGACGACGATGCTGTTAATGATTTCGATGATGTTGATGACAATGATGATGACGACGACTATGCTGATGCGGGCGATGGCGATGTTGTTGATGATGCTGATGACGACGATGACGATGGAGATTACCACGACGATGATGATGCTGATGCTGATGATGATTTTATTATCATGATAACATCGCTGATTCTGATTACGATGACGACGATGCTGATGATGATGATGGTGATGCTGATTCTGATTCTGATGATGATGCCGATGATGTTGACGACGAGGATGCTGATGATGATGGCTATGCTGATGCTGGTGATGATGCTGTTCATGATGATAAGGACGAAGATGATGATGCCGATGCTGGTGATGATGCATATGGATGGCGATTTCAAATCTGATTACGGTGATGCTGATACTGATGATGACCCCGATGATGATGTTGATCATGCAGATCATCTTAAAGGTGATGATGATGATGATGATGGTGACGATGATGGTGATGATGCTGCTGATGCTGATGATGATGATGACGATGTTGCTGATGCTGCTGCGGCTAATGATGATGCTTCCGCTGTTGCTGATGATGGTTGCTATGCCGATGATGACGCTGATGCTGATGCTGATGCTGCTGATGTTGCTGACGATGATAACGATGGCGATGCTGATATGGATGATGATGCTGATGATGATGATGCTGCTGATGATGCTGATGATGATGATGGTGGTGACGGTGATGATGATGCGGATCATGACGATTATGTTGATGATGGTGATGATGCTGCTACGGCTGATGATGATATTTGTCGTGACTGTTGTGGTCATGATGATGCTCATGATGTTCATGCTGACACTGATGCTGATGATGACCCTTATTATGACGATGACCATGATGAGAATGACGACGATGAGGACGGTGAGTATACCGACGACGATGGTGATGCTGATGATGGTGATGATGGTGATGATGATGATGCTGATGGTGTTGACGACGACGATGATGATCATGCAGATGCTGATACTGATGATGTTGTTGATGGTGTATTGATCATGTCTTTGATGATGATGCTGATGCTACTGATGATGATCATATGACGATGATGATGCGGCTGATAATGCTGACGATGATGCTGCTGATGATACTGGTGATTATGATGCTGATGCTTGGGATTATGATGGTGTCGTAGCTGATGCTGTTGATGGTGATGATCATGGTGATGTTAAGATAATACGAATGCTGATGATGATGTCGATGATACTGATGCTGACAATTAGGATGATGCTGCTGATGATGATGCTGATGATGATGCTGGTGGGAATGGTGAGGATGATGATGATGATGATGATGATGATGATGATGATGATGATGATGATGATGTTACTGATCATGTTGTTGATGATGCTGCTGTTACTGATGATGATGATGATGCTGACGAGGATTGGGAGGTGGATGAAGATGATGATGATGATGATGATGATGATGGTGGTGGTGGTGGCGATGATGACGGTTGTGCTGGTGATGATGGTGATGACGACGACGCCGACGATGCTGATGATGTTGATGATGGTGGTGGTGATGATGATGATGATGATGACGATGACGATGACGATGACGATGATGATGATGATGATGATGATGATGATGATGATGATGATGATGATGATGATGATGATGATGATGATGTATATCAGGAGGGGGAGATGAGATGGAGGAGGACAGTCCTTGTCCTCCTCCGTCCTCCTTGCTTCTTCTCAGTCCTCCTTCCTTGCCCCCTCTGCCTCTACCCCCCTCCCCCCGAGAGACTTCTCAGGAGCATGGCCCTTGGGCGATGTACTCGTCGGTCGCGGACCTCTACATGCTGAGCCGCAGCGACGCCCTGGTCGTCGGGTACTCTGGCTCGGGGAACTCCTCCTTTTCGGAGCATGAGGGGGCGGGGGGGGGGGGAAGGGAAGACGGGGGCGACGAGGGCGAGGGGGAATGGCGAGGGGGGGGCGAGGGGGAGACGTGGATGATGGGGGCTGGGGATGGATGATGAGAGGAGGAGGAGGAGGAGGAGGAGGAGGAGGAGGAGGAGGAGGAGGAGGAGGAGGAGGAGGAGGAGGAGGAGGAGGAGGAGGAGGAGGAGGAGGAGGAGGAGGAGGAGGAGGAGGAGGAGGAGGAGGAGGAGAGGAGGAGGAGGAGGGAGGAGGAGGAGGAGGAGGAGGAGGAGGAGGAGGAGGAGGAGGAGGAGGAGGAGGAGGAGGAGGAGGAGGAGGAGGAGGAGGAGGAGGAGGAGGAGGAGGAGGAGGAGGAGGAGGGGGAGGAGGAGGAGGAGGAGGAGGAGGAGGAGGAGCGGCGGTGGAGAAGGATGGGGAGATGGACAAGGAGGAGGAAAAGGCTGAGGACGAAGCGGAGGAGGAGAACCAGTGTAAGCCCGACCCCACGGCTCATCAACGGTGTTGAAATAAACACTCCCTCCACGATCACTTTGCATATGCCCCTACGTCCCTACAAGCGGTCACTTCCACTGAGGGGGTTGCCCCGTCGGGGGACAACCGTGTGAACTTGAAGCGTGCCGTATCACCATTCTCAGGACTTCAACGCCACTAGTTAACCTGATCGTTACGTGTTGGCGTGCCAGAACGCCGTACCTTGGACACCAACACCGCGAATCAACGTAACGGCCGTGTCCTGACAGTCCTGACCCGCTCCCCAAAAAAATGTTGCTGGTATATTGTTTAAAATTGTTTAAAACATATGTGCGCGGCGCTAAGACGAGAGCCAGATTTTGAAAGGAACCGTCCTCAATACATGAACGTCTTGCTGTTTCCCCCACATACTAAGTGTGGTTCTGTTTCCCCAGGACATTCAGCGCAGTTCTCGCCTCACCTCCCCACCTCTCTCCCACACACTCGCGCATCAACATCGTCATCATCGGTATCACTCAATCCCATCATCATGATCGTCATCATCACCACCACCATAACCATCATCATCACACCATCATCATCACCATCACCATCACCATCACTATCACCATCACCATCACCATCACCATCACCATCACCATCACCATCACCATCACCATCACCAGTGCCACTCGGGCTCGAACTCGCTGGGGAGCGAGTGCGCGCAGCCCTCCCGATCTGCCCTCCGAGTCCGATTCTCGTACTCTTGGCGGCACCGACAGTGAGCATCACTGCGGGAGATCGGTTGTTTCTCTTGCACGCTCTGCTTGCGGCCATCCATATTCTTTGAGATGGCGAAGAAGGCGACGAAGATCAACGGGCCTGCAGCTCGCAAGACGAAGGTTGTCGGAGTCATCCAGCAGGGCGGTGGCGACCGTGCTACCGCGGCCTACAACGAGCTGGTACATAAGGACCAGGCGGGTCTTGACCAGGTGCTGGACCAGACCCCAGAGGACAAGCAGTTGAGAGCCATCCAGAAGCCCTTGACGAAGAATACGATCTCGTGGACCCACGAGCACCAGCGGCGCACCTCGGCTGCTGCTGCGGTGACCGATGGCTCCACGAACACCAGGAACACCACGAAGGGTAAGGGCAAGGGCGCCGCGACCGCCGAGCCGCAGCCCACCGCCCTGGACGAGCACGACTGGTCCATCCCCATTGCGCAGGCCCCCAAGAAGCTGCCCGACGGTACGTATGAGTCCTCCGTCTCCCTCCATAGCATGGAGGATGCCGAGAAGTGGTGCATGGCGTTACGGCGGCAGAAGGAGCCGCTCGCCATCCTGGCCATCGGCACGGGCAGCGACAACTGGGCCCACGCGAAGATCCAGATCCCAGTACTCAGGGTTCCGCACGACACGACAAACCCGAGGAAAACCTTCATGAATGGCGTCATCTACCAGTTCGGCGAGACCGATGTCACTATGAAGACAAATGTTGCACAGCTCGGCGAAGCAGATGGAAACGCGACCTTCATGCGCATCACCGTCCATGAGGCCGACACGCTGCTTGTCAACCCCACCATGAACGAGGTTTTCAGCAGCCAGTTCAGCGGTGCCGCCCCCGTCGTCGTTGGTGGGCAGCGCAAGGACAAGATGGGCAGCACAGCCAACGAGCGTTGGAAGACGGCTCGAAAGTCGGACGCGAAGATCTCCATGGACAATGGGCTGCGTGACGTCATCAAGTCCACCATGCAGGCCATCTGCCCCGATATCCCACTCCTCGACGAGCCCAGCCGCCTGCTACGAGCAGGAGGCCAGGCAGGTCAGCGTATACTGGGAGCCGTGATCGCCATCCCCAAGAACCAGGAGGACGCCCTCCTCAAGTACTCAGGTTACCAGGGCATCACCTTCACCTTCTCTTACATCGGCGTCGACGCCGAGAAGCTGGAGATCGACGAGAAGAAGGTCCACGCCGTCTGGTTCAACAAGACCAGATCCATGCAGGAGGCCTATAGCATCTCCAAGCCACACGAAGCTGCATTGGGTGTTACGAAGGGCGACCGCGGACAGTTCGGACTACGAGTGCAACCTGAACACCCCGCGGCAGGCGAGGCGGCCACTGCTGTAAGAGGCTCAGCCACGGCGCTACCCCGACGCAAATGGCGCATCGACAACATTCCAAATGGCAAGGCTACTAAGGGACAAGTTGCGGACGCTGGCCAGACGGTCGGGTGGACTGCCGACATTGTCTACGTGGGCTTCGACATCAACGAGAAGACTAACTTCGCCATCGCGCGCTCCGACACCGAGCCGACAAACAAGTACTGGAAGTTCGGCACTGCCACGCCCTGGGTTGTCACCGAGGTCACCAGTGGGAATCGCAGCCCCGCCGGCACCTCGGCGGCAGCTCCTACGGTTGTCCTCGCCGCCTCCCTCAACACACAGCCACCGCCTGACCAACCGACTGGTAAAGTACCCGCTGCACCTGACGCCGCTGCGCCTCCCTGGCTCGCCGCACTTCAAGGGAAACTGCCAGAGCAACCTGTGCCACAAGGTGAAGCCGACGCGCGGGTGCAGGTTGAGCCCCGTGAAACACCACCTGCCCCGGTCCCTGTCCGTCTCCCCGATGCTGAGCATGAGCGAATCCTGGCTCTCGAAGCTAGTGCACGGGCCCAAGCTACTACTATGGCCGCTATGCAGGAGCAGCTCGACAAGCAGGCCAATGCCACCACATCCCTCGGTGCCAAGCTCAACGGCGTTGCTCACAAGACGGACGCTGCTGTCACCGAGATCAAGCAGGCGAACGTGGCACTCAACAACACCATCCAGATGTACCAGGCACAGCTCCAGGGAAGCTTGGCCGCCATCCTCAAGAAGATGAACCTTCAGGAGGAGCGCGCCGATGACCCCAACAAGAAGACGCCGCGCACCACGCCGCGTACCTGTACCGATGGCAAGGGCAACAAGGACGACGACGAAATATGAAGGTGCCCAAGGAAGGCCAGTCCCGCCTTTCGTTGGGAAGTACGTGAACGGGGACATCAATTGCATTCACTGGGCAGTGGTCTACACGCTCAAACTTTGGGGTACTGCAGCGAGTGGGATGGCTGCAGGCAGGTACATCATACCACAGTTTCGACCATGTCCACAGCTAGTCTGGGAGACTGCCGAGGTGACGACACGGCCGAGACAAACAATCGGGAGGTTTTGCCTCGATTCAACCTCCGCGTGCGAACGCGTCGTTTTAAGCGACATGTCGGGTTTGTTGTCATGTGGGTCCTGACGACGTTGCCTCGGTGTCATAGCTACAGTCATCGCACGCGTGCGTATTCTGATTCAACCCTGGGTGACGGGCTTGGTTATCACAAGTTCGTCTCGCTCAATGTGACATCGCTGCAAGCGCACTGGGAATTGCTCACTGCCCTCGGCGACCGAGGCGTCGCCGTTGCAGCGCTACAAGAAGTGCGACACACACCTCATCAACTATCGGACCTTGATAAGCATCTTCATCGACACGGGTGGAAAGTCCATTGGGGCCCGCCTCTTTCGCCAGGCGCGCGTGTGGTTCCTGCTCAGAACGGCAAGCACCAGTACGTGACCCAGGGAGTTAACACTGAACATGGGGGCGTTGCTATCGTCACTCCGACATCTGAGCCCATGGTGCCTACGGAGTGCCAACGTCCTGTCCAAGAACGGCTTTTGGCGACAAAGCGCTGGAAGGAGGTTTTCGTCCCCATCCCCAATCTGAAAGGGAAGCTCACCGCTGGGCATTACCTCGCCACCGTCTACGGAGTCGCCACAGGATCCAACGAGGAGCTGTTCGCGGACGTCTGGCAAGCTGCTGCTCTTCGAGGTACGGCAGCCCCTACTTTATTACCATGGATGCTCAGTGCGACGTCACCGAGTCGGCTTTTCCCAGTTGGGTTTCACAGGAAGGTGGTTGGAACAACGTCTCGAACGGATATCCTGACCAGGACGCCATGACCTACGGCCGTGACCCCAACTGGAAACGTTACGACCCCACCGAACACACCTCCAGGATCGACTACGTCTTTGCGAACGATAGTGCCAACGCTATGGTCATTGATTTTCAGATTGTACGTGAATTCAGATGCCCTGGTCATCTCGCCCTCGAAGTCACGTTCAACGTGGACGCCTCTGCGGCGCGCGTACGACGGTGGGAACGCCCGAAGCTCTACGACGTCTCTTACATCAGTATGCCGCACGACGAACGGGAAGCACTGGGCGCCCACGTGGTGGACCGACATGCTCAACAGCTGGCGCTGACACAAGGCAATCCTGAGGATACTTTCGCTCTTGCTAACAAAATTGCGGAGGATTTCTTGGATGTATGTTGTGATAGTCATGTCAAAAAGGGTACGGGAGGGCGAGGTAAGCCACCGTTTCGTGCAAGGGTGGCCCGCCCCACCCATATCTCCACAGCATGGCGCTATGTCTCGCACAGAATGGCAATGTACCAGGCTACATCGGCGACTACTCGAACTAAGCTACCGTGCTGAACGCTGTGAAGGTCGT